CTGTGATAAGGGACCCAATATTTATGAAATATATATTGGGCAGGGCTGGCCAAAATCTGCCTCTATTGATGAATGGAATATTCCTATAACTACCCCTAGTTTAACTGAACTGATATTCTGTATATAGAAATAGATTATGACAAAGCAGAATAAAATATGGATTAAAAATATAAGAATGAAGACATAGAATAACAGGGACAGTTAGAAGTTGCTTAAAGGAAGTGTCACCATTCACTAACCACAGGATGTTCTAGCCAACGTCCCTATGTCAAAACCTGTGTCAAAAGTCCAAACCACAAAGTTCAATTAAAGTTCGTTAATAACACGTAAGCCATACCTGAAACAAAAGGAGAAGTAAGACCCTCATCTCCTTATAAGGCTTTCTCCTCAAGGTAACCACTAAGAAATGTGTTAAGTATTTCCGTGTTGCAATGCTTTTGAGAATGTATAAGAATGCGTGCTTCGATAATGAGGGTTGTTCAGAACTTGCAATGCTAGCCATTTCGCTAGCTTTCTGAACCTGGCTGCCAAATAAACTTTCCTGTATCCTGAGAAGTCTAAGCCTGTCATTTTCTGCAACAATATATTAGACTAAATTCTAATAACTTTTTGTGACAAATCTATGCAAAACTTGAGGAAATCCAAGAAGAGGTGAATTCTTTTCCACAAAATTTGTATCTGGATGGGAGATCTAGGTTAGATGGGGAATCTACCTAAAAATCCACAAATAAAGCAAAAGTACTGAAAAAGCATTGCAAGAAAATTGCATAGATATTTCTGAAATCACCCCTAGCTGAATTTGATTTGGAAAAAAAGATTTACAGCATTTGATGGGTGTAAAATCCATATTGATAATTTTATAATCTGTTTCTCAGTCATGAGAGTCCATGAGAATAGAAACTGTTAAAAATTGTCCAATTAAATATAAATAAATTTATACACCTATACAGGTATAGTTAAATGGAGGAGGAAAGGGAAAAAACCCAATAATTTTACTGTAAGACTTCTCTGTTTTATTTCTGCAGGCATCTTAACACCATGTTTATACCATTCAAATAGTTCTGCTGATTGCTTCCCACATTCCAGAATTCCTTCAAAAAGCTTGCTTTGAATGCTGAAGATTGTTTTAGAGCTCTCTATAGACCACAATAAGTTTCTAAGAAAAAAGATGAATATGAAACAGCATCTATATGATAATATGATAAAGATGAATGAATTTGCATTTGACCATGCAAATACTTAGAAAGAAAGCACAGAATGTGAGAGTCAGAATGGAGTCTCACAAGTGAAGTATATGAGAATGGATAGGGTTTAGGGGGAAATTGTTACCTTGGCAACACATAAATGATGCTAGACAAATGAATTTTAAAAAGCTACTGAAAAATGGAAGATAACTAAAAGAAATGAAGCCACTACATCTTACTTTAGAGGGCAGAGGCAACAAAGAACAGGAGGCAATGCTAATAGTTTTATATCATACATTAATTTCATATCCACAACAGAATGCTTTTTGTATTAACCCACACTATGCTATGCTATGTCAAGAGTCAGGAAGATGAAATATATTTTCGGCATAGTATCTCCACCAAGGCGCCCTTAAAATTATATGCATTGTTTTTAACCTGAATGAAAAAGTTAAGGCTGAGACACAAGCAGTAAATATATTATTTGCAACAAAGACTTAAGCACTCAGAACTTTCTCATGTTTTTAGTTTAGCATTGGGGAAAACAGCTAGGAATATAGAGACGTTCCTGAAACAAATCAACCCCTCTGTGATTTCTAAAACCCTTTTTTCTTATAGAGAAAGTAGTGAACATTATTTATTTATTTTTATTTATTAGATTTCTATCCCACCTTTCTTCAACTCTCACTTGGGGCACAAATGACCAGACTCATATTGTCATATTCTGGACATACTATGTGAAGACCTGCTCTTTTGAGAAGTTGATATATAATGCAGAGAAAAGTGAAAGAAAATATGGAAAAAACAGCAAGATGAATGGATCCAATTACAGTGACATTACTATGTCATTAGAGACCTGAACGGCCAGAATGGGGAGAGGTAATCTTAGGGAAGGTTTATCTGTTTGGTAACTTTGCACCAATTTTTAAAAATAACTTTGTATTACATAAACATTAAAAACATTGGACATAGTGCGACATTTCTGGCATAAACATTTCCATATAGTGATTATATCTTATAACAATTACATTTATATCCATTAGGTGTGTGTAGTCAGTCAGATTACATATCCATTGATCCTTTCTTATATAATTACTAATCATACAGTTACATATCCAATTCCTACCTATCGTACAATATTAATCCCATATTTTCCAGTTCTTAACTTATCCGTGTTTTTCTGTCCCAAACTTTTTCCCTCCTTTCTAACCATCGATCACATTTGTCCTAGATTTCATGATATTCTGTCTCACTCTTGTCTTTGAGCTCTAGAGTCAGTCTGTCCATTTCTGCGCAAGCCAGTATCTTATTATTTCTTGTTCCGAGGGAGTCTCTTTATTTTTCCATTTTTGTGCAAAAACCAGTCTTGCTGCCGTTAAAATATGCAGCATTAAATATAAACCACTTTTTCCATGTTTTTCTTTTGTGATCCCTAGTAGAAATAATTCTGGCCTCAACTCCATCTTTTGATTTAGCATCTCTTCCAAATACTTTCTTATCTGGCAGTTTGCACCAATTTGATGGCACTTAGTCAGAATGTTCAATTAGGTCATTGGTGGATATAATATTCTTTTCTCTGATTTTTCCTCATAATAACCTTGTGAGGTGCAGAGAAAATGACTGGCACTTTTTAATCCAATACACTTCAGTGGCTGAAAGTAGGCTTTGTCTTAGTGCTATATCTTAATTACTACATCACCCATATTGATGAATATCATCAGTAAGAGATGGAAGGAGAAAGATACCTGATTGGTTGGAAGAATTTTATGTTTGAATTATCTGTCAAATCTTACTGGATGTTCATACATGAGCAAGATAAAAAATATGAAGGAAAGGGAGTGGGAAATGCAAATTTGGGAGAAACAGCACAAAGCATAAAAAGACCAAAATAGCCATTAATCTACTGAAACTGCAATCCCATGGGGTACACAGCCAGTAAATCTGTATTAGACTTTGTGACAGGCTAGGCAATACATCTTGATTCTCAGAAATTCCATCTAGCATTCAGGAATTTGCTGCAAGAGAAGTTCACAGATGCAAGACAACTAGATAAGTGGTTTTAATGCAGACAAAATAGAAGCTGTGCAATATACGTCTCCTACAAATCACAGAAAAACATATGTTCATTCTTTATTCTATCTATCTATCTATCTATCTATCTATCTATCTATCTATCTATCTATCTATCTATCTTTATATATCTATCTTCCATTTTAGTTTACATTCTTGGCCTCCAGTGGAAATTATATACATTGACAGTTCTTTCTAGCATGAGAACTATTAGTCCCCATCTGTTCAGCTGTCATCAGTACAAACTGGTTTGAAAGATGTTTCTTCCCAGCCATTTCTGCTCAGCTGTTAAATTTACAATTTACAAATAAAGCAGACATTAAAGCCTTAGATCTCCACATTATCTCATTGAAAGAATAATGCTTTCAAAACAATAAATCCGTTCCTGGAATACTTAACCACTCAAACAAATAAGGAACAACAGCAGTGTTGAACATTTCAGCCAAGCTTTCCTTCTCTTCAGCCACTTGGGGAGGGGAGATGTAAATGTCCCAAAGATGACAGAGGCATCAGAGCATCAGATTTTTTTTAAAAAGTGGATTGGGATTTGATTTTCATTTAGTGATATTGTTTGTGGAAGACTTTTGTACAAGGTACAGAGTTAGATGTTTTGGTTTCACAAGGGCTAATACTAAATTATTATAACTTATTATTTTAAAACAACAATATGTTATGAGTAACAATTGAGAGCTTTTGTCTGTGTTTTATAAAATAGGATGTATTTTTATAGATTTGAGCATTGACAGACTGGTGAATTGTGTGACAAGACATGTGCCTTGGGGGGTTCTCTAGTGCCATATATTTAGCAGAGACTCCAGTAGCTAATGCTTTTAAGCCTCTTGTATTCATTCTGTGATCAAAAGAATATCTACTTCATTTCTGCTACAATGTGTCTATGATTTCAATCCATTTAAAAACCTTTGCAAGGCAGCAGAAAACATATCTTTGTAAGACCCTCCAGAGGTGCATCATATGCTAAAAAGATACTAAGCCTGTCTCCTGAAGTGACTGTCTACTGTATATTATTTTTCAGGTCAAGGAAGCAGTTTTGAACTGAATCATCATGAAACCAGTCACTGGCTCAAAAAGAACCTCCCTGCATTCATCATCAGCAGGCAACAAGAACAAATAAAGAATGAGCTATGGGCAAGCATGTCTGATGCTCTTCTCCACGCAAAGAGGGAGGAAAAGGAATTGTTCTGAGAACAATGGCAGTAGAGAAAAAGTTATATTTTCTGTCTCTGACTATGTTAAATATTGGACAACTAAGTAGATGAAATTCACTTTTTTGGGTGGCTAGAAAACAGAAGCCAAAACAGAAAATAGAGAATGTAAATATATGGTGAATGTAAATATATGGTGATATAACTACCGTTATTATATTATAGGACAAGGTAAAAGCAATAGGAAGGCAATGCAGAATGGAGAACTATAAAGGCTAAATTTGAAAGCGGATACAGAAGGCTGCATAATTACTTTATATTGTTATGTATGTTTTGTGTTTTGTTTTTTCTTGTTATGTTTTTCTTTCTGTTTTTAAAGATTAAAACGTTCAATAAAACTATTTTAAAAAGAGAAATTCACTTTTTTTAAAAAACCACACTTTTTTCAAATAAAAAAGCTTAAATCTGAATTTAAATGAGAAAAACTTAACTGGTCTTAATACTTATCAGCAGTTTCAGTCATTCAACAGTCATTCAATGCTTCAATGTTAAATGACAAAGGAAGAAGCATGATATATCCTACCTGTCAAAAATGTCAGGGAGAGGTCTGATCATCTTTTGCCATACTCCCAATCCTTTCTGGTCATTCAAGTGCCAGAGCTTTCTGCTCTGCTCTTTTCCAGTCTTGTTCTCAACAAGAATGAGGGAGACATCTCCAAGCAACGTACCTTGGAGGAGCCATGATATCTGAAGCTAAGAGAGGAAAAAATGTATGCAAAATCAATTAAAACAGCATGCTAAGAAATAGCAACTATCTGAATTATGTCAAATTAATCATGTTCACCATTCATTTAATCAAAAAGAAAAGCAACTTAGAACTAAGGAGAAATTTCCTGACAGTTACAGTGGAACAATTCATCGGTGGAACAATTTACCTCCAGAAATTATGGGTGCTCCATCATTGGCGGTCTTTAAAGGATTGGACAACCATTTGTCTGAAATGGTATAGGGTTTCCTGCCTAAGTAGGCGGTTGGACTTGAAGACCTCCAAGGTCCCTTCCAACTCTTCTCTTCAAAGCATGTACTATGAAGAACTACTGAAAAAACTTCTCCAGTGGTTGCATGTGACTCGCTCCAAACTGTGCTCATTCTCCCCTCCACCCAGAGTAATCTAATGTTGAGTTTCTATAAAAGTTTCACATTTCCTGGAATATAAATGCCACTTCCTTTTCTTATATACCTTATTTTACACAATAGAGATGCAGTAGATGGAATAACTATTTTGGTAATCATTTCTGAAATGGCTTATGCTGGTTTCAATACTTTCTCAGCCACTTAAAGCTAAAGTTATAACACTTTACCCTTGAGCTCCATTTTTATTCCTTCTGTATGCCATATTGTGGGAAATAAGCATCGGCATCCCACTTTGCAGCTTCTATATAATCTGGCTGGTTTGGAAATCAAAGCTCTGCATTTCTTTCTGGACAGTATAAGAGTTTACTTGTCTCACTCCAACTGATCTTAGAGCCCCTTTCCATATTTACTAAGAATATTTCAATATTTCATAGTGATTTCCAATGTTACATTAATCACTTCTAAGAAAAAAATAAGCCCACCACCAACAAAAAGTAAAAAGGTAGTTCAACAGTACACAATTCAAAGTGAAGCCGAAAAAGTGGAATGCTGAAATTCACTTGTTTGTTGGAGTCAAAAAGGAGGAGTTGGCTGTAAAATGAATTTGCCAATGTTGAGGTTATTGGACCAAGCTCTTCCCTAGCTCCCCTTAAGGTGGAACAAAGTCTCATCAAAAGATATGATAGAAGGGGGCATGTTGAGACTTCCTCAAGAGAAACCACTTACGGTACATATTTACTGGCAAGACTGAATGCTTCGCCTTTTCCTGAGAAGTATATGATTGTTTAGTGCCAATGCTTCTAAGCAAATGACTAGAATAAGAAATCCATCATATCCTGCAGTAACTGAATTTTCTGTACTGTCTTCAGAGTCTACCTAGTAGACTGCATTATAATAGATTAATTTAGAAGACATACTGGCCAGTTTAGAACTTTAATTTAGAAGATAAAGCCCATTGGCTAAACTTGAACTGTACCAACCAAGAATCTAGGGATAAGGTTGGGTTCAGGTGCATCGCTAAACATGATTCCTTCTAGAGGGATGGACTGGATCTTGAATAAGCACCTGTCTAGCACTACAATTAGTTCCATTTGATCCAGACTGATCTTAAAGCACATTCAATTTCCATCAGTGTTAGATAAGTATTCAGACCTCATATTTTGATATGATAAAAGGGTAAAAAAACAACAACATAGTACTAGTTGTTATTTGCATAGCAATAATGCATGACTTTGTATGGTATTTTCCATTAATTTCATATAGACCTTAAACATCAGGGGAGGTAATATGGAATTCTAAATGTTTCCATTCATAGCATTCATTGCTTTTCTCCCCTTCATAGTATCTTTCTAGGTACTTTTTAAAATCATTCTAGCTTTTCTAACCCAGCAATTTTGTTTGTGTATGTAGCTGTAACTGTACTAGATAAATCTTTCATATTAATATTACTTTCACATAGTTCAACTCTAAGTTTCCGTTATATATTTTAGTTATTGGGCCGGCTTTGTTTAGTTCTGGTATCAGATACTACATCCAAGCCTTCTGTGAAATCTCTGTCATCAAATACAGGGCGCTTACTATGCTGGAAGACTTCTCAGCTCAGCTTAGCATTTAAATATGCCTCTTTTTCTAAAATGTAGATTAATATTCATATGGCTTTTTAAAATACCAATTCCCCCCCCCCTCTCTAGACATGGTTTAACAACTACATGTTAAAATATACAGAGGTTTGTTTTCTATAATGAATAATTTTGTATTCAGGCAGTGGTAGAGAGAAGTACAAAGAATGCAGTAAGAAGGTATTGCCAGCAATTATATAGTTATCTCTCTTGATATTAGAAAAATTGGTTTTATCTTTTCCCCAGAAGGTTATTATAAAATTTTCAATTATGTTCCAATGGTATTTGGATTTCTATTAATTAAAATACAATACACCAAAGTAGTCTAACTGATTTCACTTAGGTTTAGAGTAACCAAGTCCCTCTGTGATCTTTTTTATTCTTATGTATAAAATCCCTTCCTAATGCTGTTATTTGCAATTTTAAAATTGGCTTCATTTCATTCTTGAGAATGAAATAAAACTTTGGCAATTTTGGTAAGTCTCAATAAACTGCAGTATAAATTTGCACGTGGTTATATAAATAGGAAATAGAAAAAGGACAAGGAATTTACAAATTTAAAATTCTGAAAATTCAGGAAAGTACAAACATTCAAAGAAACAAAACAAAAACAACAACCCTGAACAATATTAGAATATATAGAGGTTTATTATTATCAGTATTGAAATTATGTTTAATAATAGTAACAGTTGGATCTTTAAAATTATCTAATCCTTTATTATCCTAATAGTTACCCTAAACCCATCTACAGCTTTGCCTGGCCTGGAAGACATTTCTCCCGTATAAAGTTTGCTTTTAGTTCCTTTTTTATTTTTTATGGATTCACAAGCAACCGATTAATTAGAACAGGGATATGGGATATTTAATTCTCCTAGTATGGATAAAATAAAATTTGAAAATCCTTGATATGTATTGGCTGGACTTGCTAAGAGTTGTAATACAGCATTATCTAGAAGGCCACACATGTCCCACCTCTGCATTAAAAGATAAGCTGTTTTTGCCTATTTCCACAGAAGCATTCCATGATGTGCTTTTCACTTTTTCTGGCATTATACAGTAGCTGAATTACTAAGCAGAGCATAGAGTTCAACTGTAGAAATGGATTACTTCCCCAGCTAAGTATGCTCATTAAAACATTAAACATTAGAAACGAAACATGGCAAGTCACATTAACATGCACAGCTTGAACAAGGAGCCTGCTGATAAAATGACTAACCCACATCCCCATAAATTCATTTAGCCAGTCTTAGGGCTCTTTTGCGTGACCTGCTAATTGCAGGCAAGCAACACTTCAGTGGTCATTTATGATGCCATCTTCAGCTCTCCTCTATCCTGTTGAAGAGGCAGCCTGCAATGATGCCCTTGGGCTTTGCTTTTAAAATGGTATTTTTTGACCTTGCACCAGCATGAGTCCAGGTATGTTTTTTCTCTGCTGTTCTTTAATTCGATCTAGGCAATGTCTGAACTTTTATTTGCTAATATACAGAGCTGCCAAAATATTCCCTCCCTTCTGATTATGGGTTTCTGTCCTTCACATTTACTTCCCAAATATTTACATGTAAGAAAAGGGACATGTCCTTAAATCCACAGCTCTTGCTGTACCAGGCAAGACAGGTTTGAGGCATTTTGTGGGACTATGTTTGACAAGTTGTGCTCTGAAAAACAAGATCATGACTCTATCCTACGTGCAACCACTGAAAGAATAGAAACTGGTCAGAAATGAACAATAGTGCACTTACAATACCATATTTTTTCTTTTAAGAGATTCCCCACTAGGCCAATGAAACATGACAATTTTCCTTCTCTAGGTAAAAGGGAAAGTTTTTCTTCTGGCAAAAGTGGTTTTGATTTGGTTTGGTTTATTGGATTTATATGCCGCCCTTCTCCCAAGGACTCAGGGCAGGGTATAACATTAAAAAAAACCACATATTACAAAAGTTAAAAAAAAAATTAGATAGAATATCCAAAAAACAAACCCAATTAAGATTAACAATAACATTTTTTTAAAAAATTCAATTAAAATTAACAATAATCAATAATTTATTTTGTTTTGTTCAGGCCAGGCCGGCTTGCTGGAAAAGCCAACTTTTTAGGGCATGTCAGAAGGACTGGAGGTCGCAGTGGCAGGATGAAGGTTAAAACTGATGCAAGTAGGGGGTTGTGTAAAGGTGTCCAGGCATAGCCTTCTACATATAAGAATGTAGAATAGAATAGAGTTGGAAGGAACCTCGGAGGTCTTCTAGTCATGCTCAAACAGGAGACCATTTCAGACAAGTGGCTGTTCAGTCTCTCCTTAACAAATTCCAGTGATGAAGCGGCCATAATTTCTTATGGCAAACTGTTCCACTGGTTAATTGCTCTCACCATTGGGAAGTTTCTCTTTAATTCCAGGTTGCTTCTCTCTTCGGTTAGTTTCCAACCATTGTTTCTTGTCCTGCCTTCTGGTGCTTTGGAGAATAATTTGACATCCCCTTCTTCTTTGTGGCAGCCCTGCAAATATTGGAATACTGCTATCATGTCACCCCTAGTTCTTCTTTTCTCTAGAGTAGCCAAACCCAAATCCTGAAACCGTTCCTCATATGTTTTAGTTTCCAGGCCTTTGATCATCTTAGTTGCTCTTCTCTGAACTTTTTCCAAAGTCTCAACATTTTTTTTGTACTGTGGTGACCGAAATTAGTTGCAGTATTCCAGGTGTGGTCTTACTAGGGTTTTATAAAAAGTGGGACAACAGTAAAAATAACCCTGCCTCATGACCAGTAACTTTATGTGTGTTGGGAACCTAACATATCTCCATTTAGGTCAGTACTGTTGGTTCTACTAGAAGGAAATAGTTCAGAAAATATTTGTGAATCAAATCTTTGTAAGCTAAAGCCCTGACCTTTTTTGCCTTCTGGAAGGTTGTTAAGACCTTCTTATTCCCCAAGTGTTAGGACCAGGATGTCAAGGAAGACCAATGAATGCATGTTTGTTTTGTAAAATAATTATATAGTGCCATTTTTT